ATTGATCTTCAATACGAAGTCGGCCCTTACAACTGAGGTCACTGTACCTTTTGAAAAACTTCAACTGTCTGCCCTTTCAACTGAAGTCACTGTACCTTTTGGAAAAGTTCAACTATCTGCTCTTTCAACTGAGGTCACTGTACCTTTTGGAAAAGTTCAACTATCTGCCCTTTCAACTGAGGTCACTGTACCTTTTGGAAAAGTTCAACTATCTGCCCTTTCAATTGAGGTCACTGTACCTTTTGGAAAAGTTCAACTATCTGCCCTTTCAACTGAGGTCACTGTACCTTTTGGAACAGGGCAACAATCTGCTCTTCCAACTAATATCACTATACCTTTTGAACAGTGCAACAATCTACCCTTCCAATTGATATCACTATACCTTTTGAACAGTGCAACAATCTGCCCTTCCAACTGATATCACTATACCTTTTGAACAGTGCAACAATCTACCCTTCCAATTGATATCACTATACCTTTTGAACAGTGCAACAATCTGCCCTTCCAACTGATATCACTATACCTTTTGAACAGGGCAACAATCTAACCTTCCAACTGATATCACTATATCTTTTGAATAGTGCAACAATCTACCCTTCCAACTGATATCACTATACCTTTTGAATAGTGCAACAATCTACCCTTCCAACTGATATCACTATACCTTTTGAACAGGGCAACAAGCTGCCCTTCCAACTGATATCACTATACCTTTTGAATAGTGTAACAATTATCAGCAACGTCTTATTCAATTTGTTTTTATCGTGTTTTTAAAAACAGCTTCCAGGTTTTTACAAATATCGAATAAGTTATTTTTTAAATCTTGTAGGTCTAACTGAAAGTGAAAAAAGTAGAACCTGCTATTTTACTGAGCGCGCAGTAACTATGTGAACCCTAAGGTACATGGTTCGTGTCCTATTGCGTAAAAACGCTCTCTGCACGTTTGAACCATGTGTGTGCTATAAGAGTGACAGTCAAATCTCATTATTCTAGTACACAAGTGTAGCCACAGTTTGACTGTGGGTGCTGATTATTAGATGTCTTCACTCTAGTCTGTCAGTTTAAAATAAGGGACGGCTACACACATATTTAACATATTATGTCTAATACTGAATATGCTTTGTTATTGGTTTATTTTGTTAAATAATTTACGCTGCATAGTGAATGTCTTTCAAACAAATGTTTCATTTCTTTTTGGTCTATTTAAAAACAAACCAACCACTCCTTTTTCCTGCATCATTGCAACAATAGTTTTTTATACAAGTTATTTTATCATCTTATTGTTAACAACGAACGTGACGCCATCATGGTTGTTAGTTCTCGTGAATCACAACAATAAATTGCAGCTCAAAGAGCAGAATATCGATCTGTGTTTCTAGTGGTACGCCCCTGATGAAGTTTTAATGACAGGACAGAAAGCTGAATTTTACCTTGACTGTGTGAGGATTGAAGTTTCGCAAAATACAAAGGGCGCACAAATTTTTATAGTATTAATTTACGTGCTAAATACTGGTAAAAAACAAGCAAACAACAACCTAAAAACTGAAGAATTTGGAATGTAAACAAGTGCTGAAACATAACGTTGGTGTTGAAGCATAGCGTATGCATTTGAAGTAAAGGTAAAAGAGCGTATGAAACGCAGCTCTAAGATCAATATCTTAAGAAACCAATTAAAATCGTATACAGTAACACTAAATAGCAGTAAACTCACAGAATATAACAAAATAACAATAAAATCACTTGGCTATGATCTAGGTATAAAAACTCAAGTGGTAGACTAGCTTTTAAACAATCCTAGATAACATCTTACCCACAGATATCGGATAAAACAGTACTTAACTAATCTAAATAAAAGTACCCATAGAATATAGCTAAATACAGTACCTAACAAAGCTAAATGATACTACATAAATAAAGTACCCATACTACACAACCAAATACAGTACTTAAAACTAAATAAAAGCACCTAAATAGAAGTACCCATATTACACAACCAAATACAGTACTTAAAACTAAATAAAAGCACCTAAATAGAAGTACCCATACTACACAACCAGTACTTAAAACTAAATAAAAACAACTAAATAGAAGTACCCGTACTACATAACCAAATACAGTACTTAAAACTAAATAAAAACACCTAAATAGAAGTAACCGTACTACATAACCAAATACAGTACTTAAAAAACTAAATTAAAGTACCTAAGTAGAAGTACGCACATTATAGAACTAAATATAGTACCTAACAAAGCTAAATGATGGTACCTAAATAGAAATACCCATATTACAGGACAAAATACAGTACATAAGAAAGCTAAATGACAATACCTTAATAAAGTACCCAGTTACGTATAGTACCTAAATAGAAGTATTTATGTAACAAAAAAACAGCACACAAATGAAACCACTGAACAAAATGAAAACACAGAACGTTTAAAAACACTTCAAATGACATATCTTAAGAAGAACAAAATCGCGGTACTAAATGAAAGTGAAACGTTCAACCTGAAAGGTACCTTATGCACACGTGGGCTGTGTGACTAGGTCAGGTATAGTAGTCTCTAATTTTAAGTACTGACCACTGGGAAGACAGCCATAACGGCTTCTTTCATAGAACTCTTCAGACCGAATGACTGACACTTTTATAACGCAGTTACAGCTGAAAGTACAGATCTTGTTCAGCAGCATTACATCTCGAACCTTGGATCACACGAGCCATAGAGCGACATGCAGGCCACCAGACCACGCCCTACACCGTACAAATTGACCACAATTAAATAAATGTAAATCAAAAATATAACTAGGAAGGTAATCATGGCGTGTAAAACCCGAACCGTATTGTTTTTGACTTTTGCACCATCCAATCTAAAATATGCACTAAAATATCCTTAGCTTCATATACGTAAGTGTAAATCCCAAGATTCTCTTTCTATCTCAATTTGTTCTCGATTTTTAATTGTTTTTGAAAATCACAATTTGCCACCATTATAACGAAAGTGGTTGGCTTTAATGTGACATTGAACTTTGGCCTACATTCATCTAAGGTTACTTCATTTGTACTTGGGGTACATTTAACTTTTGTACCAAATATAATCAAAGTCAGATGAAAACGTTTCGAGTCGTACAGTTCACGCTCATGCGTACTAGTGAAAACAATATACCCGCCAATGAGTGCAGTTAATAAAAAGAACAATATGTATAGCAGACAAAATTTAGTAACTATTTAGTAAAAATAAAATATTAATACAAACATCGGTATCTATAAAAGCAAATTAAAAGATCATGATTGATAGAAAAAAGAAAAAACACAAGTAGCTGGGCTGTAAAAGACATGAATATTAAAAGTTTGAAGATATTTGTAAATTTTGAGGATTTCTGTAAATTTATTACATCATATAAAACAAATATGAATAAAAAACTTACTCTTTACTTTTAACGTAGGCTCGCCTCTGATTGTTTGTGGTTAAACACAATCAATGGGCTATCTGTGATGTGCCCACCATAGGTATCAAAACCCGGTTTGTAGAGTTATAAGTCTGCAGACTTGCCGCTATGCCACTGGGGGGGGGATTCATCTTTGACAAAGTTTTTAATATTGTTTTTAACAGCAAAAAGTAAAATTTCAAAACTTTAGTAAATAATTGTTATTTTCAATGTATCGATTTTTTTGGGGGGCGGGGTATTTGCATAAAAATACTCATAATACAACTCATGCACACTTAACCATATATTAACATAAAATCATTCTAGTTACACAAGAGCAATTGGCTTTTAGAGAAACTTACCAAATTTATCAATAAGCTTCATTTACGATTAATATTTAGCTTTCATGTTTTAGAAGTTAGTATTTACTTTTTTGTAATACATATCGTTTTTAATATGGTTTTACTTTTGGAATACCATTAACAGTTTTAAACGCATCTTTACCCTTAGGAATATTAAGTGTTATTAAAACGTTCTATACTTAATGGAATATTAAGATTTATTAACATGACTTTACCTTTTGGAATATCGAAATTTCTTAACACGTCTTACTTTTTGAAATATTAAAATTATGAGTTATGTATTTCTTGGAATGTTAAGTTAATAAAACGTCTTTATTTTTTGGAACGTTAAGTTATTAAAACGTCATGAATATTGGAATAATGAGCGTCATTAATGTATCTTCAATTTTTACAAATATTTTATAGGATAATTCACACACTCATCTTAAGAAGCGAGTGATGCCCTGCCTCTATTGGAAATCAATAAACGACATTTCATCGTATTTCTACTGTACATATAAACACAGTTATAGACATGGAAGTTTAAGTTAGAAAAATACATAATTTTTACAATGAAGTATACAGGTACAGGTTGAAGACGAGTATAATTTAAAAAAAAATGGGTAAAGTTGGAATATGGGGGGATGCTTTTATACTAGTTTAGTATAATGAATTAACATGATAAGTTGATAAACAGACGTTTATAAATAAGAGATGTGTTTTGTGAATATAGAGGGCGCCTCAATTATGTGAAGAGAGTCCATATTCGATCATGAATATATTATTAAGTTTCATAGAATAGCTAAATAAAACGTTTCGTTTAAAATATAAGAAAGGATTTATGACCAGGCAGTGTTCTACTTTCCCAGTATACTTTCAACGTTTCGCGGCACAAAATTGAGTAAATAAAGAAATTAAGGTTGCCAGTCATTCTTTTCTTTTTATCCACCCCTTTGTCTACCCGTGAGAAACAGAATGAAGAAACTTATTGAATTTCTTATCATTTTAGCACGATTCTAGTATACTATATAGCTGATACGTCAGGAACTTTAAATAAAAAATGTAGTTCAGTTTATGGATCACAACAAAAGATATGTCTCATTAATTGTAATTTATAGCTGTACAGGACTAATAAATGGTGCAGATCCCAGCAGGTCATGGTTCAGGATTTCTTATCTATTGTGAATCTAGAGCCTATTTTAAAGTAAAGTTCTTTAAGTAAATCTAAGTACTCACCCTAAAGTTGTCATGGTAACGATAGTGTACCAGAAAGCGGAGGGGATGCTTCTGAAGTTAGTATCATTAACATTTTTCTCGGCATAAAACATGACCGTGGCGAAGATGATGATGGCCATGGCCAGTGAGAAGACTAGAAACCCCAGTTCCGAAGCACAGCTCTGTAAGGTATACCCCAAGATCCGGAGTCCTTGCGAGTGGCGGGAAAACTTGAAGATCCTGAATACCCGGAAAACCCGCAGTGTAACAAAAGCTCCGGACAGGTCCTCGTTATCCGTGAGACCGAGACTGATATAGTAAGGAAGGATCGCCACGACATCGATGATTGACATGACGCTTCTCATGAAGTGGCACCTGCTAGGCGCTGCATATAAACGCAACAGGTATTCAGCCGTGAAAATCAGCACGCAGGCAGTGTCCAGGCAGAAAAACGCGATCTTGAACGTCTCTCCACAAGAGAGAGACTCCTCTAGTTCAGGTGTAAACCCGCAGGGAACCGTTTCCACCACGTTGGCCATCACGGACACCGCGATGAAAAAACCCGTCACGTAATAAAACACCAGAGCCGCCGTGCTGGTGTGGGGGTTCTCAAAGGCCCGCCACATCTTCTCCCTGATCGTGAAGTTGGAAGTATCATCGTGTTCGTTATCCTCTGATAGCTTGTCGTCCATGATTCGTTCGACGTTCTCCCGTTTCTTGTCCCTGTAGTCCTCGTAACAACAATCGCCGATGACATCTGGAATAATCCCGAAAAAAGCCAGCTCCTCGTCATAAGCCATGAGACACTCGTGCTTAGAGAAGTGCAACTTTCCTGTACGGTAGTAATTCAGGATATATCGAAATAGATAAGGATCTCTGTCAAAGAAATACTCCTTTTTTGACTCGTCATAAAAGAATTCTCTCTCGTTTGACCCCAACAGAGTATCGGAATATTTCTCCACGGTGTTCCTCCAAGTTTCGAACTTGCAACCGCTGACGTTGATGATGAATTTTTCATCCTCTCTGCCTTCTTTTTGTCTAGTAATTGGTGGAGCTGGAAGAGGGTTGTTAGCGATAGGAACCCAGCCTATCGCAGCCGCTCGGGCGAAAGGAAGCCAGGCCGCAACAGAAGCCATGTTTTTCGCCTATTGAGTTAAAAGACTGACTCTCAGCGCTAGGTAATGAGGTTGGAAGTTGCCACTTCTTTGCTTCTGTATATTTCAGGGAACAAACCCGACGCTAGGCTTAGCCAGCCCGGGATCGAATGGAGGAGCACTCGTTCACATCTCTAGTGAGAAGGTATCTTTAATCCTATGCGGGTTGAAGATACTTAGGGTTACTTGTATTATACAGTTTCGTGACATATTCCCTTGTACCAGTCTATAATTTCAGAAAAACGTTCAATACACCTAATACAAAACTTGGATAAGAACGACGATATGTTGTCAAGCCTAAGTGCGTCGACAATGTCGACATCGACTCGGAATGCGCACTGACTGCGGCACGCTAGCAACCCAACACTCATCCTTGTTGTTGCGTGCGTTGTGCGTGGTGACGAACGTGAAAGGTACGCGTGCAAACATCATATCTCACGTGAACACATATACCAACCACATCACATCGATCAGTGTTGTTGGTCAAGTTGATTAGGAGAACAGTTTTTTAGTCTATCTATCTGCATTAGTTGCCATGTCCCCCTTTTTAACCCCTAACTTAAATCGGTATTCGTTTCGATTTTTTTATCTTCTTCCCTGCTGCAATCGTTGACATTGAAGAGCGAGAGAGAGTTGTGAGTATTTTGTAGTAAAACGGTTTCAGATCTTCTTCCCTAAATTGTGGAAAATCCTAAACCAAGAGTTACACACAATCCTCATTGTTGCGCAAGTCTGTTTCTTTCCCAGGCAAGGATAGATAGCCAGTGACCGCAAGCTTCAGCCGAGTCCCGGCGGTCACCATAGTGACAGTGACGTCAACAACGGTCGATCATAACTGACGAATCACAACGCTGAACGTTTGAACACCTTCGTTCATCTCTTCTTCCTGGAGTATAACTTTTTTTCTCGCCAACTTCGTAGCATTTGGAAAGCAATGTTTGGTCTCATGCACTAGAAAATTAAAACCTGTAGCTTGTTTTTAGAAATGATCGAACCTAATTACAAAAGAAATTGGTATACTAATTTTTTAAAAAGAAATTTGGGGAAAGTATCTGATAATAGCTTATTGTAATGACACTTATTTCTAGAGAGCTTTTCTCCAGTGTGTTTGCTCATCTCAGGTAAGACATTATGTTATATCAGGTAAGACAATATGTTATATCAAGTAAGACATTATGCTATATCAGGTAAGACATTATGTTATATCAGGTAAGACATTATGTTATATCAGGTAAGACATCATGTTATATCAGGTAAGACGTTATGCTATATCAGGTAAGACATTATGTTATATCAGGTAAGACATCATGTTATATCAGGTAAGAC